GGGGTTGAAAATTATTTTAAAAGGTGTTGAAATGGTAAAATGTTATCTGAACAGATGCAGATAGCAAAGAGCTGTGGATGTGTCTCTCTAAATATAAAAATAACCCAGTAACCTGGGGGAACCATGGAGATGGGGCACAAATATATTGTATCTCTTACAACTCCCCCAACTCTCTCACTTCTGCTTAATAACTCCCAGCCAGCCAGTTCCCCATTTGTAGTACTAGTGACTCCTGCCTAGAAGACCAAACTTCCCAGAGAACTTGCACCCTGCAAGGTAGATAAGAATTGGGATAAACCGATGTGACCAAGTTCATTTACAAAGTCAAAGGCAGGTCTCCTGAGATCTTATCTCCATTCCCCACTGTCCCTGCTATCGAGGTGACTTAGGCTTTATTTTCCTTCTAGACTTGCATGAGAAATGGCACTTCATATTCAGGCGGTCAGAGTTGCCAGTTCACCTTAATTAAGCTGAAGTAATCTGCATCCACTCATGGCTGGTGAGTTGCTGATATCTTTCCTTAGGCTAAACAGAAAATACTCTTGAGTCTGGGCCTTCACTTCCAAATAAAAAGAAATGCAAATATTCAATTCCTGCTTAAGTCCAAGCTCCCACCCTGCATATCTGTGCTAGATAGCATGTCCAGGGTGGGATTCACCTAAGCCATTTTAGATAGCCACCTTAGGACACAAATCACACTCTAAATGCCTTTCTCTCTCTGCTGACTATAGAACTCATTCAAATCTCCACATTGTTGTGTTGGAAATGATGGAAGAGGATTTCAGCTCAGAGGAATAGAGATTTCAAGTCAGAGGAATACACACAATGGTATTTGAACTTTGATTCCTCATAAACACTTATGTTTGTGGGTTATTCAGGTGTTCAGAGAAGACATAACACAGGAGAACCTGTGTTTTATATATATATATATATAGTCTTATGACCAAATCTGCTTGCTCATCTCCCATGTGCAGCTCTCTAGGGGTTACGCACCTGCATACAGTAAACAAATCTGGGACTACAATGTGGATACAGTGTAAAATTTATGCTGAGTACCTATTGTTTTATTTATACACATTTCAGTCCATTTTATTTATTCATATGATCTTGCACGGCACCTGCCACAAGGGGGTAAGCAGATAAGAAGCATTCAGAGACCAAGCTCCACCTTTGTTAGAATTATTTTCCCTGCAGGAGAGATGAGGAACTGAGGCATAGAGCAAGGACATGAGGCATGACAAGGACAAATAGGGAATCTGTGGCAGAGCTTGGCACAGATCCTAGATCTTCTCATTCACAGTTCACCTAGCCTAACATAGGCCAGCCCTTCTTCTGAGGCAGCAGATCCCAGAGTATTAGTCATGACCTAGACAAGCCAGGTTGCAAACCTGACAGGATTTCAATTGCAGAAGCACAATCACGAGCTGACAAATAGGGTGACCAGTCAAAAAGTTTGGGAATAGCTATTTTTGTGGCTTGTTTATATGACAAACCTTTAAAAACTTCTACCACTCTAATATCTTGAACACCCTTGTCCTGCAATAATATTACATAATTCTATTTAGAGACTGATATTGTGTTGCCTTAGCTTTTCTTTGTTTTGTTTTTTTTTTTTAGCATCTGAAATGCCTGGAGGAAATGTAAGGCACTTTTAATCCTGGGTTAACTCAGATCCTTGTATTAAAACATATGCAAGTGGCATTCAAAATGCATGTGTTTCAAACTACATGGCGAAAAATTCCTGATGAAAATGAAAACGTAACTTCCTCTGGCTGTAAGTATACCTTCAGCTCTCACCAGTGGCCTTGATATGGATGGTAAGCAACATTATGACAGACATTTATGGTATTTATTACCAAAAATGGCAAATAATTGCCCCCCAATATTTTTTGAACGCATCAGTGAATTTCGATTCGCCAATATTCACGACCCGTATTGTATTTGCTTTCAACGAACATTTGAGCGGTTGTGTTTTACAAGTGCAAATACTTGTGAAAATCTAATTTTAACCTTCAATGGTCACTGAAAGCCAGTTTCAAAGCCAGTCAGGAACAGAACGATATGACTTACATAACTAACTGACGCATCACAAACTGGGACGATTCACAAATGCTTGTCAGACAAAGAATTACTCACTGGAGAAGTAAACAAATCATTTCAATCCACAAATACTACAAAAAATTTTACAGCTTGGTCAAGAACAAGAGGAAGATTTAATCAGTGATAAAATGGTCATTAATCAGTGATCAGTCTAATTTCCTTGAGTCTAAATCTTCAGGCCCTGAGCCTGTGGAGAGTTCTGCATGTAATATTCTGCAGGTTGAGGAGTGCTTTAGAGCCTGAAGTTACACAGAGAGCAGAGCTAAGCAGAGAGACAAGTCTTTGCAGAATCCCAGCCTTAAGTCAATTCATGGAGACTAATCCCTTCCAGTCTTTAAAGAGCTCTGCAAGTACAAAACACCTGGGAAACTTCTTCCTCAGCCATGCACGGCACAGGCAGGATGCCAATATCAATTCCTATTAACAACAGAGGTTAGAAGGATACATCAACATGCTCTTTGTGGAGAGATCAATGTAGCTGACAGCTCCCAGTGGGCTCGGCCCTTCATGCTGCTGCACTGCCCGTCTACCAGCAGGAAGGGATGGGGGCACACAGAGCAGGGTACATCTGCCCCTCTCCTTCCCCTCTGCCTAGCCACAGGCTTTCAAACTGCATTTGCTCAGCAAAGTGAACGACTCATCACACCTCCAGTCAACCAGTACTGCTCCTGTTGCTTCAAAGGATGATGTCTTATGTTCTCATCCTGTCTCTCTGCTACCTAGAAAAGCTTAGGCCATGCTTTCCAAATCCCAGGTAATCCTGTAAATATCTCTCCAGTCAGTCACGGTGACTAGGACTGAGATTTTTCTCCCTGCATTCTTGCTTCTTCACTGCACAAGTGGAATACTGGAGCTATCTCATCCTGGTACCAGAACAGTGATAGAGCCTTCTGAATCATTTCACTTACTCAGTGAGGCATGAGCTTCTCAAGGACATGTTGTCATCTGGGTAGAAGAGAGTTAGTGAATGCACCACTGACTTGGAAAGAGGCTCCTTTTTGGTTCCATCTTGTGTACAGATCCTGAGCTGAACGTAACAGGAACCAAAAGTATGGTCCTGCTTCTGTTCATACCTGGCTTTTATGAACTGGAGTTCCTTAACTTCAGTCCTCTAGAATTATCCCTTTTCTTTCAGATAAAGTCTCAGCAGAATGCAGTAATCTTAACTTCCCTAAAAAGTCACATGCTGTTACGCAGCTACTGCACTGACCTTTCTGGACGGTGAACGTTTCAGGAGAAGGTGAAAAAATGCCTTTTTTATAAAGACAAGGATTTCCATGGCATCTGCCAATTTCAATAGGGTGCACATAAGTCCCTTAGGCTCTTTTAGGAAATTCCATCCAAACAGTGTTAGGCACAACGGGGTTGGAAAGTGCTACGAAAATGCTATTTTGCAATAGGAGAGGATGTAAAGTTGAGAGAACAGGAGCTCTCAAGTCTGATTTCCAGGAAAACAAGGGCAGCACTAGGATTTTCAATGTACGACTCTGAAGGTCTCTGTCTTTTATATGACATAGGGACCGATGTTGTCTCAGGTCAGCAGAATGGCAAAAGGAGGGGAGGACAATGCCAGAGCTCTGCACCAAAGGGCCTGTTATTCCAGTTGCTTTGTGTCACCTTCTGACCTTAGGTTGATATTTTGCAGCTGGCTGTGGAAGGGAATTTCTCCTAGGGGAAGAAGCATCTGAGGTTCTTTATTGCTGGCTCAGAATTTTCCATTAATTTTAATTATTAGTGCAGCGGCACACAGAGCAAAAGACAAAGAGCGCAGGATGCCCTGCCCACCTGTATTACAGTCACAGAGAGCATCAGGCTAGGAAGCTGAGCAGCACCTAAAGCTGAAGAATTTGAGATAAAGTCAAGCTGGCCCATCTCTGGTTGCATCCGACCTTATATTTCTCAGTAGTTTGTACAGTCTAATTTAAATAACCCAAGTGATGGGACTGTTGCCACTTACACTAGGGCCTCATTAGCGTGGGCTTTGCCAAACTCTACATTTTTAGCTCATAACCTTTTCTTCAGGGGTCACACTTTCTGATTTGTAGCAGGTAATGAGATGCACAGAATACAATGTTCCTGGCATGAAAAGCCCCAGAGCCACTGCACCCCTTGCTGGGATGCCAGCTTATTCCCTACCCGCCTCACCCCATTATCCTCCTCAACTTCTGCATTGTACTCAGACCTGCACTGACCTTTTTGATTCTGAAAAGCAATGAAAATGCATGCAGTCTTAAGAGATGTATAATAAGAAGCTAAAGAAGGTAGACTGAGACTCTGAAATGCTCGGTCCACAGCTCTGCAAAGGCTTCTTGCATGACCCTGCATAAGTCACTTAATCTTTCTGTGTTAAACGTCTCTGGATGTAACCAAGGAATGTTATCCTGGTCTCCTCTAGTTAGACAAGGATGTTCACAACACAGGTTATGTCTCCCAGAGAACAGGAGAGCATCCTGGGTTGGATCACTATGAGCTATAACAATCCAGTAACACTTTGGTTAGTTGTGCTTACTTTAGGCTGTGGGAGGTTAGGTTTTTATTCATCCTGTATTTACACATTCTGAGCTAAAATTCACAATCATCTGGTGAATTCACCAGCATGGCCCTTGATGGCCTCAGATTGCATATCTTGGTTCTTCAAAAAGACCTCTTAGAAATGAATAGGTGTGATAGTTTAACTGGAGCCAGCAGAAATGTGTATGTGTGAGAGAAAAAGAGAGAGAAGGATGTGCATTTAACTGATTGTGAATGGGGCTCCTTGTAGGAGCTGAAGTCAGGCAAGGAGAGACAGGCTGGGATCTCCTTCAGTTCACAACTCCAGCAAAGGCACTAAGGACCAAGCCTGGAGATGGGGTGCCAGGGAAGCAGGTAATGGGAAGGAGACCCTCAAATTTTCTACTTACCAATTCTGTCCAGCCTGTCAAGCGCCACGGTTTCAAAAGCTCGTCGCATCATGGGATACTCTTCTAGCACCTCGTTGAAGTTGTCCACTGAGAGGGAGTAGAGCCGGCAGTAGGTATCAGCTCGCACGCTGGCTGTGCGTCGGCCACGGGTCAGAAGGCAAATTTCTGGAATGAAAGACCCAGCCTGAGAACATGGGGATAGAAACCATCACCCCTGAGATACAAGACCTGTCACCGTCACTCACAGGCAGTCCTGCCTGCCAACCAGCCTGGACTTTACCTGCTCTCCCACTGAAAACATGAACAATGGTAACATTCTGCATACGAAGTAGCAGTTAAAAAATACCAGGGGGTTCACTTGTGGCAGCTGCTACACACAATTGCCCCTCAGGGATTCTGCTGATCTAATTAGCTAGACAAGTTTTGTTTCAGTGGATTATCAAAGATACAATTTGTGCATTCAGACTGGAGAAGCTGTCTTTCTCCAGCTCCTCATGGGCACTGGGAGCAGAAGGTCAAGCCTTGCCCTCATTGAAACCACTTCTCTCTCTGTGCTGATCCATGGCCTTGCAGTAATTTTGATCGCCACATCCAGAATATTTGTCTTTTCAAGGATTTTTGTAGATATGTCACAAGCTTACAGATTGTCAGGGAAAGCCAAGTTAGTGGCACCCACTAACTCTTGGTGAATTTACACTGCAGTCACCTGCTCCCAGGAGGATGCTCAGCTGGTTACAGAGCAGAAACCCTTAAACCTAATATAAATGCCTGACTTGGCCACAGATGGTCCTTGAACACTCAGCAAAGAGCTACTGAGTCCTGCTTTTCCACTGATGACACACACAGTATGGGCAGCTAAGACAGCTGGTGTGATCTAAAGACTGACAGGATTCTTCTCTGTGCTGTATGTTGGGTGTCACTCCACCAGCACCACTCTCAGGATTCATTCTAGGTTTGCCCCAAAGCACTGATATAGCAGCACTACAAGGTTTTCAGTGGGTTATTTATTAGGCTGCTCTCCTAAGGAAATGATGCTTATGACACCATGCCATGTGTGTTTGGTATCTAAACCACAATGAATGTCTTGGGCAATTTTAATCCAATCTGTCAGAGTCGGGGTATCCTGACTCCCACCCTGTAACTCCAAATCCCAGTAAACTGACCCAACTTGCTAGAGATGTGCAAAATCCTTGTACTCCAAGTAGGTACAGACAGGTTGTTTCACAGGAACTGAGAGTCTAAGAAGAGCGTAGGAACTGCAAGATAGGGATTTTTTTAATAGAGAAAAGGCCTTACAGAAGGGAAGGAAAGGCAGGTTTCATTCTGTCCCCTCTCAATAGGCCATTAATTGTGGGGCATTCAGTGCTTGTACTGAAACATGCCTCTACCAGAGAAATGTCTGTCTTGGGCTGTCAGTGAGGTCTCTACAGGGTCTGATAGGAAGGGTGTCTCTGTGTTACTCGTAAGAGCAATATCCTAAATCTTCTCTTACAATCTTTTCTGCCCTCATGCTAGTTTCACTGTTCCAGAGCCCTGCTGCTGATACATCACACCTGCCTGCTGACACATCACACCGGCCTGCTGACATTTTGCTGAGCCACAGGCTGGGCAGATGATGGACTATGTTTTTCCCTCTGTGTTTATACAGTACCTCATATGATAGATGCCAGACAGTAGGACTAGGCAACACTATAAATGTGTTTGGAGAATTGAGAATGCTCCATTTTTTTTCCTTTAGGTTCTCAGCTTCACAGATCTGTCATTTTGCTTGGGGCAAAAAGAAATGAACCTACAAGAACTAAGTTTCCCTTCTCTGTTTTGCTATTATTTATTATCTAGGCTTTCGTGCTGCCCATGAGTCTCAGTCACCTCCCACTGCACAATTTACTATATGGGAAGCTGCAAGACAGGTGAGATGAACAGAGACAGAGGGTGGAGGAGGAGGTGCGTGGGGTATCAGTTGCACATGCTGCCATCCCTGTGTGTCCAGGACAAGTTAAGGAACACCTGAGCAATAGCAGTAGGTATCGCTACGTAAAGGTGACTGATGAACACACACCTCCAAAGTAGGAGCCATCTGCCAGCTTGGTCTCCTTGTTGCCTTTGGTGAGGACGCTCACCACCCCGTGCTGGATGAAGTACATCTTCTTGCCAATGGTGCCCTCCCGAATGATGTAGTCCCCTGGCTGAAACACCTCAAATCGCAACTTGGTCAACATGGATGTCACAAAGTTGGGATCTGCGTTGGCAAAGAGGGGCATGGAGGCAACCAGCTTCCGGCAGTTGAAGTTTATGATTTCCTGATCATGATGTGATGCAAAAGGGAGAGAAAGAAGAGAGGGGGAGGGAGGGGGGGGAGAAAAGACAGGACAGAGAGCAGAAAAGACACACACATATATTTAATCAACATCTAATAACCTGTGAAGATCCCCCACTTGACCTGTACATTAGAAAGTGGGGAAAAAATATAAAAAAGCTGTTCCCTTAGTGTGGCTTCCCCAGTGCAGGCTGGAATGGGCTCTGGATGCTCAGAGCACGTAGCAGTGCGAGCTGAAGCTGACAGCTTGACACCAGGCTTCACCATTTTCATTCATATGCTTTCTTTTTGAGCAGGGACACTACCCCTCAACCTCCCTAAAACACACAATATACCTCTTTCTGCAAGAAACTTTGAACAGTGAAAGAGGTGCATAGCACTGGTGAAATGCTGCATGAAAAAGCCCAGGGCTCCTCTCTGGGAAAATGTAACTCACCTTGGCAGGCCTATGTTCTCTGTTGTCCTTCCTTGTCAATGAGATATTAAACAGCATAAACGTGCCAAGGTGCTTAGAGGAAGAATTATCCTGGGCAGATGGGGACAGTGACAAGAGAGGGGAGGGAGAGGTGCCCACCAGTCACTGGGGCATGGTGGGATCATCAACCTCAGATGAAGAAAACTCAATTCAGCTGCTCAGCTGTCATATAGCAGACAGGGACTGTGCCTCCTCCTGTGGTTTGGTGTCACTCGGAGGCTATGACAGCACTTTCCACTGCACAGGAGTTGCTCTGTGCCATGCCAGCTCAGACTCAGAGAGCAGCAGCAAGTGATATTGAGTAAATCACCTCAGCACAACACTCTCCAGCCAAGCAAGGAAGGAGGATCTGGATGATTGGAGCAGGAAGAAAGAAGGCTGGGGAAGCATCTCTCTCCTCTTCACTGGGGTTCTTTACAGGATTGGCCTTTTAGACTCTTTAGTTTTAATATATGGCTAGTAGATCCTCAGCTCTTCTCTCTCCTATGGAGGCATGTGACTTGGGGGGGAGACAGGAGGAAGACCGCTTCTGGTGCTTGTGGGTAACACTTTAGAGGCATATACTAGGGAGAACCCGCATTGCCAGGCTTTGGCTAGGGGAGAAGGTTCTCTCTAGAGACTCCTTTCAAGCGTGGGCCCTGCTAGGAGGCTCCTCCTTTCCTTTGACTCTATATGCTGGTACAGCTGATGGATGGAGCAAAGATGAGGCCAGCACACTGCACAGAGGTTTATATAAATAAATGAGATACAGATTAATATTAGGAAGTACAAGGTGGGAGGTTACTGAGATGCCATACCAGGCAGTAGTGCGTGTGAGCGTGGGGAGGGAAGGGGTCTTGCAGAGTGTGAGGCAATAGCAAGGCACTTTCCAGAGTGCTCTCCTGCAGGGTTTCTTTGGGAATGGTGAGGACGTTGCCAGACCTTGCCATGGCCTCAGAAGACGTCAAGATGCATACGTGGATGTGCTGTCTCTGCTGGGCATGACATTAGAGCACAAACAGAACCAGTGCTAATGGGAAAACTGACCTCCTACCACTCCCATCAACTGATGGTGTCCCCTGCAAAGCACTGAGAAAGGAGACTGCACACTGGGAACTCCACGGCTGCCTGATGTTGCCAGACCTTGCCATGGCCTCAGAAGATGCCAAGATGCACCTATTTCACATGCTGAGTGGGTGGCAGGGCCTGCATATTGCAGCCCCCACTGCCTTTATGTCAGACATCACTTGTGCTGCAGCAATTAATAGACTCAGGCAGGAGTCCTGCAAATGCCAAAGGCCTGGGTTTCTCTCTCCACAGCAGTGACTTCTGCTGTGATCAAGGCAAGGGAATACTGGACATACACCAATGGCTAGGACCATCATGCCTTTTGAATGAAACTGTTTCCAACAGAGATGTAGTCAAGCAGTGGATCATGTCCTTCTTGGCCTTGCTCTCCCAGAAAATTAGGCACAACACAGGAACAGGTACAGCCTCAAGCAAAATGGTGCCTTTGTGGTTGCTCAGATACGTGGATGTGCTGTCTCTGCTGGGCATGACATTAGAGCACAAACAGAACCAGTGCTGATGGGAAAACTGATCTCCTACCACTCCCATCAACTGATGGTGTCCCCTTCAAAGCACTGAGAAAAGAGGTTGCACACTGGGAACTCCACGGCTGCCCGAGATGACAGGAACATGCATTGCCCATTCAGCGTCCCGTCCTTACCTCTCGGAGGGGTTCACTCAGCTCTCCCAGGATGCTCTCTTCATCAAACATCTTCCCCTGGTAGCGGTGCTCATAGTAATCATGGATGCGCTGCCGCATGTCTGCGGGGAGCTTGTGGAAGGACATATACTGCTCCACTTGTTTGTACTGTGCAGGAGAGAGAGGAAGAGAAAGAGTTACCAGGACGTGCAACAAGCGGCGCCCTCTCATGGGCAAACACATACTAGACCGTACCCATACCTGCTTCCTTCCTGCCAAGCCAGGCCTAGGTAGATAAATCTGGTGCTGGAGAGAGCAGCTGTCTGAACACAAAGGGAGTTTGCAGACACCTTTGTTAGATTCCCCATGTTTTAACCTCTAAACTTATTCTCAGCCAGTTACACTGTGGAGACAACTCCTCACTCCCTGGGTGCTGAGCAGTCCAGGCTCCTGTTCTCCACTACACATGCAGCAAAAACTGGGAGCAGAGATGAGTAAGAAGTTCTCAGCTGGGAATCTCCTCTCAGGAAATAATGCTGAGCAAAGTCTATCCAAGCCCTGTGCAGAATGAGAGCAAGGGAAGTACAATGTGCCCTCAACAGAAGGCTTTTCTATGGCACATGGAATGGCGGATGTACGACCTGGCAGCTTGGCTCTGGACCAGTAAGTGCAGCACTTCGAGGCCTCAGCCAGGTACCAGGGGCTGTACCAACAGCAGAACATGGTCCTGCCTTGGATGTTCACAGTCAAACTGAAGGACACACACAGACAGAATTCTGACAGTTATTCGGTTGCAGTTGCAGTACCTGTGCCCTGCTTTTCCTCTCCTCTGTGTTCCCATCTGCCTGGCTATGATGGCACTTTTGCTTTCCCACCTAGGGCGGCACAGGTCCAGATTTTCTTCACCTTTTGCTGGGTCCCTATTGCCCCATGCACTCATACTAGCTAACCCATCTGTATTTTTACTTAATGATTTGTATTTCCATCATGTCATTTAGAGGGGAACACAAGGGCACAGTGACTGATGCCAGAGCAGTATTTGAGGATGAATGGTGCTTTCTATGAGGAAGTGACACTTTCTCAAGGGCACAGGACTGTAAATGGTTCCACTTGCCTTGAAGGTGCTGCAGGGACAAGGTATGTGCATTGCAATGGTCACGCTCCCTCCCACTGGTGTGCAGTACAGAACATGATCCTGAGCATGTACCATAGTAAATAATGCTGACAACAGGACTATGCTCCCCCTTTGCTATCCCTCTTTCCCCTCTTCTCCCTGATAAATCTGTCCCTGAATGTCCCTTTACTGCAGCTTATGCTGAAGAGCCTAATTACCAAAGTTCTGCTCATTACAGAGCTCCCCTGCACACACCAGTGTCACTCTGCTCTCAGTACAGTCTGTGCTGGCACTGCCTTGCATGTTAACAACTTGATCTGCACCAGAGAGAAGAAGGAATTACTCTAAGAAGCCAAGGTGGCAGAGGGGACACTCGGGGTTTCCTGGCATTTCCAGAGCTTTTTGTCTGTAGCTAGCAGCAGACGAGCTGGCTGTAAATATTCATGATCACTACAGCATGATCAAAGTCAAGCGAGTCACCACCACCCCACAGGGAGCCAGGCAGAGAATTGGCAATGAACACTGCACTTTATTATTTGGATTGCAGAAGTTCTGTAGAGACTGGCAGGGAGCTGTGTCAGGCAGCACTATGCTGGGTGCTGCACCGTCTGCAGCTCCTGAACGAGGAAGAGAAAGAGAGTAGAAACCATCATCTCACATGTGGACAACTCACTTAGCCCATAGAGGATTTTGCAGGTTATGCTCTTAAATGCAGAAATTTTAAGGGCTTGGCTCGGATATCTAAACACACATGTCTACTACCACTGGAGATGCATTGTGGCATTTGGGACATCCATGGGACCTGGCAAATTGGTCATAGGACATGCAAGACACTCATTATGAAAAGGGAAATCATTAGGCACTAGCTTTTGCTGACTCAGGTTTATTAAATTTATCCTAAATCCACAAACAGTTCTGCTTGTTTTAATGCTCTATTTTTGTTGAAGAAGTTGTTTACAAAAAATGTCACCTTATATTCTTAATTTTAGCCCAATGTCTTGAATTGTAACATTGACCAGTGTCACAAGATGCCTCTCATCACCTGCTGCTGGCCACCTGCCCGCTACCCCTCTTCTCTCCACCATAAGCACTTATGATCAATCTTCAACTGACCTTTGTTTCTTGGGAAAAATACCCCCAGCTTCTCAGATTCACAAGCACAGGTTGGATGGGGCGACTCAGACTCTGCTTATTCACTACTGTACGTGGATTTATTGCTTTGTAACAAAGAGCAATAAATTACTGCTCTGTAAATTCCCTAGGGCTCATCAGATTCTCCTGCAATCACTGTCCCTAGATAAGGCTAGCGTAAAACCAGGACAAATTTACTTCACCAGAAAAAAAGGTTCTGCTTCCGATTACAATTTAAAATCATGGTTATAAAAGAAAATTGTAAAATAAGTAACCATCATTCTCTGTCATAGTTAACATCTTGGCTCTCCTGTTTTTGCTCATGCTACCTCCTCTCACCCACGCTAGCTGGAGAGTTTTGTGGGCTCTTAACTCTCCCTGGCACAGAGATGGAGTCTGCAGAGGTGCTCAGAAATGAAAGCATCAGCCCCTTCTCTCTGTGTTTGATAAATTGAAGATTCATGTGGGGTCTTCCCCCTTTCCTTGGAGCTGCTCAGCCAGGCTGAAGGCCACGTAAAAACTGCATGAGGGAGGGCCTTTCAAAGAGTAGTGGGAGGTACAAGTCTCTTCTCAGCCCTGAGCTTTCAACGAGATCACTCCTGAGGTCACCAGCAACACTCAGTGGTGGGACAAAGCAAAGGGGTAAAGGTAAAGGTTTGGTGAACATCAACAGCAGAGCACATGGGAATTAAAAACTTCTTGATAACTCTGAATTTACAGGTCTTCTTTTTTAACTGAGGCCCTGACACTGGCACTCTCTAAAGCCACCTCATGCCCCCTTGGGTTGGCACCCCTTTGAGTTCCTTTCAGACATGGCCAGGCCTAACCTGACAGCCCCTTTTGCCTCCTTTCTCCCTTGCACTTCTCTGTTCAGGCTTCCTACTTGTCTCCATGTCCTCACTCTGACCTGTGCTCAGAGGAAGGCGCAGAGATTAGTGGGCTCTCTGAGTTCAACTAAAAAGACTCATTTAGGAATTATTTCAATCTCTCTGAAGACAATCGAGTCTATTTAAATCCTAACTCATTTTCTTAAGTCTGTTTTTCCTCAAATAAGCCCTTGAAGGAACTATTAATGTCTCAAAAGGAAACATTTAGCTGAGTATTTTTCCTTCTATAACTGGCCAGTCTCCCTGGTTGTCTCACTGCTCCCCTCCCCTTCTACCAAAGCTCAGCTCACTCACAGTCTAAAGGGAACTAAATATTTTTAACTCCTTCCATGCCTTCAATCTCTAGCATGAATCATCCTCTCTCTGGCAGTAATAAATCACTGGCTGAAAAGGCTGGACTACTTGCCCTACTTCTGAATACAAAGAAGATCCTGAATTTGAGAAGAGCTGCTCCCATCCCAGTCCTGGCACTGACACCTCTTTGAGTCCTCTTTTGGTCCACACACATCACTCTTCAGACCTTCAGAGAAACACTGATTTCCATTTTTGCATCTTCGATAATTCAAACACATTTATACATTCTCACCACAGCATGCCCACCGACATGGGCACACACACATAACCTCCTGTCACGAAGGCACTTGGGATGCTTGTCTTCCTCTATCCAAAGATAAATTTAAACATTTTCTATTGTCCTGGTTTATGCAGTTAAATTATCACACCTGTACAGGGCTGTACTGCTTGCATCCTTCCAGAAATAGGCTGAAATCACTGTGGGACAAAGTTTAATCTTGGTCACAGTCTCCATATCTGGACTCTGTGGAAGTCAGCAGATGCACTTGTGTAAGAAAAAGGAGGACCAAGCAGAGAAATGCATTTTCAATTAAGTGAAAAATTAGGATGCTCTGACAGTATTTCAAATGCTGGCAGTATATATCCTGAGAGACTGGATTAAGATACACATAAGCAGCCACGACGTACAATGTTGTGGATCTCTCAAGTGGATTAATTCTTCATAGGAGTAAAGGTCAGGAGATTCACCAGATGGAGTGTTTTGATGGGACACAGTTGCATCTTTGCTTTATGTTCTCTGACCTATGCTTAGGAGTAGAACAGTGCAGCTCCCCCGCACTCAGTAATCATCAAAACCAAATAAATGCAGAGTTCAATTTTTCTGTCTTTTAAGCCATTTGCATTCCTATCCTCAGGATTTGTTCTACAACCAGCTATACATCTTACTCAAAATGATCAAGACACACATTCTCATGGAGTCAAATGACTCCAGGAATGAGTGGTTTAAGAGAAGAAAAGTGAACTATGGTAACACAATAAAATCATGCTGGTGCATGATCTTTGTTGGTTTCCCTTTGCAGAGATCCATGCTTGATCATATTTAGCATCAGTAATAGCTTAGCTAATTTTGATCTTTTCTCTTCCTGAAATTTTGCTGAGAACTGTTACTGGTGCAGGCTATCACAGTTTATCCTGAGTCTGCAACACTTCTGAATGCTGTTGGCTCTACACACAAACTCATGCTCATGAGCGCTGTCCTGCTGTTTTACATTCATAATATTAAACGTGTCTTCTCCATAGCAATAGGGAAGTGGTTGAGGGGAGTCTGTGTTCAGGCATATGCCGGCCTCCCCACACCCTCCAGCCCCCAGGCAGCAAGAGAATGGGCTTATAGGTGAGGCTGAAGCAGGAGCTCAGTTCCTTCAAAGAAGGAACCAGAGGAAATAAAGTGAACTAGTAAGCAGAAAGATGGTTGGGGTGCCTACATGAGGGGAGTGGTAGTGGGTGCTGGATCAGTGTGGCAAATTGTAGCTGGTTGTAGAGGAGCTGGTGGTTATTTCAATACCAGTTCAACCAGAACAACTCAGACCACATCTAGTGCAGTGCCGAACACTATCAGTGCTGCTTTTGCTTTCTGATTAATGAGCTAAATTTAAACCCATCTCTGTCTACTCTTCAGCTTTGGAAGCTATTTGATAGCTACCTCCATTCTGCAAAAAGCTGCACCTAACGTCCTGGTTCTG